CCCCCCCCCCCCCCCCCCCCCTCCCCACGCGGGGGTGGGCGACATATGCTCTCGGTAACTTCCTCACTTTTAGTCAAGACATCGACCTTTCTAAATGAAAGCAATGCAAATAAATCTAAACCTTATCTTTTAAGCGTGGCTATTGTCATTCATATTTTGAAGTTGTTTTGACAGGCTTCCTTAATGACATAGACTATTTCCATGTTTTTAGAAAGGAATGCGAGGAGAATATGCTCTTGGTAAATTCCTCAAGAGTCGATATGTCGAAGGGTATAAGCTATTTAATGCCACTTACATTCTCAAAGAGGTAAGGGAGTTTTCATCCTCTTTACGAGTGAATACACATCAATGAACGAGTATATCTGTTTAACGTATCCAAATTAGCCAATCAGAAACTGTATCTACTGTCCTGATATCCCGCGATATCAAGTCACTTGGCCGAATTCTTGTACGATAAATACCTAATCTTAATCGGCGGCATATTAGACTCGTTTGGTCTCGCCTTGGGTATTTTGGCTCGACTACGTCTGGCCAAAATATTAACCATGGCCTGACCAAACTGATATGCCGCCGAAGCGCACCAAACAGGTGCGATTAGGAATAAGAACTGAAATCGGGTTAGCTCGTGCAGTCGGTCAGTCTATGAGTTGTAAACTTTATTGAGTGATTCCGCTGACCAGTGGATCAGACTTAGTGAATGTTTTGCGAATTTCGTAGGGACAGTAAAAAGCTCTCCTTACTCCAGACAGCATAGTGGTTCAGCATATCGAAGATGTTGTTTTCAAATGTTGATATCCGTCCTGTTCACAATGTGCACTGGCTTATAAGATCAACTTATTGTACGATATTTCCATCAAGACGTTTGTTTTCATTTACCTGCTGGTTTTCCCAAACAGATCTACATTCGGAGTAGTGACTATGACCGAACACTAATGAGTGCACAGACACAGCTGAATGGCCTGTACCCACCAAAAGGTCATCAGGTAAACATATCTGCAACTCTCCCCTCTTCAACGTTACAGCGATTTTCATTGATCAACTAAAAAAAATGGGGATGTGTCTCACGGACGTTTTACTCCACAAGGTTATGATGTCATGAAAAAGACGGTGCCCGTAGCTTGAGTTTTCAAGTGAGAGAAGAAGTGACATCTTCTCCACCACAATCAGATTCTCGCTGACAAGCGGATTTATGTATGTTTTCAACTCTCGAATAGTTTATTTCGCTATTTACGGGTGTTTACACTGAGCGGCTGTCTCTGCGACTAAATTTATTCAGTTGTTTTAAGCCATTATGTTTCTTGATGCTGTTGCGATTTAAAAGTACAGTGTTAAACACTTTAAACACTTGTACAGCACACGGAATACAATAATGGGTAATTGAACAAATATCAGCCAAGTTGGCTATATGTTGGTCAAATTTTGCGTCCGAGAAGCAGAAAACGAGAACGAAGTAAGCATCAAAGGTCATCAATGCCGGGCAATAAGGGGATGTTTTTTGTGTTCATCTTCAGATATGGCGAGATAATTTAGACTGGCAACCAATAGGAATCCATGTAGTACCGTTGGAAGACGATTATGTAAGTTTTTTCCTGTATATGTTCATCGTCGCTTTAAGTATAAATAGCAACCAATTCAGTTAGTCTTCAGTTCTGTAATAAGCACTACTAGCAATTTAAGAATTGTCAAGGGACTGTGTCGAAGGACCGGACTGCACAAAAGTAGAGAGGACCAAGTAGGAGGGAAAACAAGTCAGTAATAATGTACAAGGATTATAACTTCTGCTATTGGCTAACAAATTGTTTTGCTTTGACGCAGCTGCTCGCACCTTTTGACTACCCCTGCGATCGATATTTTAAACTTTACGACGAGGGCAAAAAGCAGCCCGAATACATAGAGATGTCCCTGAAATACAAGGTAATAATCTACTTACTATGCCACGTGGACTTAGCATGCAATTCTAGTGTGAAACAAACCACAGTACAACAGGATTTACCAGACCATAGTCTATACCACACCTATAGGGGGGCCACGATATTGTTGACGCATTGTTATTTTGAACCTCATTTCGTTGTCAGTAGACCATTTACCCTGGTTTTATTGAATTTCGTTCCCAGGTTACCCCTCTCTTTTTCCCTTCCCCTGAAGCGAGAGATAGAGAGACCCTTGTTCAGCAACAGCAGCAGTTTACAAACAAATGCTATAGGGAAGGGAAAAAGAGAGGTCCTGGGATAGAGGATGATTTGATTAGATCTTATACAGTATTATTATTAGACATCTTAAATATTTATACTGTGAGTATTTTTTCAATTGTTTCTTTTTCCTCTTTTCCTCTATTTATTTTGTGTCCCAAATTAGTATGGGATTTCCAAGGCTTCAAGGCATTGACACGTCAATAAAGTTTCTATCTATCTATCCCTTCTCCCCTATACAATGATGTGTTTTCAGTCGTCATGCTTAACTTGTCGCAGCAAACTTAGAGAACTGGAAGGGAAAGAAATACTGTGGCATAGGGTGGTTAATTTTACATTTAAAAGTAAAAGTGCATTGCACGAAACGTTCTTCGCAATACAATGTGAACTATTTACGTCGCCCATTGAACAAGTCTCTGGATTTAAATTAGTCCGATCGTTAGCCAAAAAGATTGTCTTTGAACTGTTGGGTGAAAAAATCTATTGTACGAGAAAGTTTGGCTATAACTGTACACAGGAGCCCATAACTAAGAGCGTGCAACTACCCCATATTCCTGTCACGGCGGCACCGACCGATTTGTTTTTAGTTTGAATTTACCGCGAATTCAGATCCCCGCTGGAACCACATGCAGTGACCAATCACAAGCACGGACTTAAATTTTAACCGACGTCATCATTTCACTAGAAGATTAAAAAGAAAAACCGCCATTTTTTTCTTCACCGATGCATGCTCATGTAGACTGGAATTGACCTATTTCGCGGGAAAGGAAGCCTAAAAATAGACAGGTCTGTAAAACTGCCGTGACATAGGCTTAGGATGGGAGTTGCATTGCACGCTCCTAGTGATGGGTTTCTGTCGTAAATGATCTTAAATTTGATACCATGCGTTGGGAAAGGATGCCTATGTCAGGGCGGGGAGAGGAGTACGTTTTAACCCCAATGTATACGGTATTATTAACGATGTTGTCTATCGACACTTGTCAGGATTTGCTGGACTATGTCTCTAAAAACAGTGGAGAAGAAATTGACGTGTCGAGTATGTGGAGTATTGTTGACCCATTGATTAGTGAGGTAAAGCAGACCAGTTAGTGGATTAAGCTTTGTTTGACTACGCCAGAGAAATTTGAAAACGCAGCTTTGTTTCTATGGTTATCCCTACCGTCCACACTAATCCCTGACGAAAACGGAGCTTTTCGAAAACGCTTCTCAAACCGGAGGAATTAAAAAGAAAACGCTGGCTTTGCGTTTTAGTGTGCACGGAAAACAGTTTGAAAACGGAGCTTTTCGAAAACGCTTCTCAAACCGGGGGAATTTTAAAAAAAAATCGCCGGCTTTGCGTTGTTTAGTGTGCATGGAAAACAGTTTGAAAACGCAGCCTTTCGAAAACGATGGCGTCACGATGATCACCAGACTTCCCTCCGAGTTTTCCTCAGACAAAAATCTGAAATGACCAGTGATTGTCGCGTTTTCAAATTTCTCCGGCGTAGTGTGGAAGGGTTTCACATTAGATTAGCCAGAACTATAGCGTGTGCTTCTTAACCAATATGCAAGGCAAGCGTAGAAATACATTTCAAAGGGAAACACATTACCCCAGTGCAAACCTGGTAAAGAACTCCTTTCTGATTACACTGATCCCCGCAGAAAAACGAACGATATTTACCAACCATACCAAATTATTACTGTAAGCTATTGCTGTATTTGGGGAGCAGGGATGGCGCAGTGGTGAGAACGCTTCCCTCCCACTAATGTGGACCGGGTTCGATTCCGCCCCGGCGTCATATGTGGGTTGAGTTTGTTTTTGGTTCTCGCCTTGCTCCGAGGGTTTCTCTCCGGGTTCTCCGGTTTTCCTCCCTCCTCAAAAACCAACTCTCTAAATTCCAATTCGACCAGGATAAAGGATCCGCGTGAAAACCAGCTAAGGCTGATGTGGCGTTCTCTCTAAATATTTTATCGTATCGTATCGTATCTTATGCAATAAAACACTTATTCCCAATCACTTTGCACTTAGTCATATGACGGTCCCACTGTACCTTCAAAATGAAACAAAGCAGGTTCTTACGCGTTACAGAAGTAAGTTTACATTTGCTTACTATATGGAAGTTCTGCAAAACTTAAAAATGAGTCACAACACTGTTTGATAATGATACGGGATCACAACTTCCATTTTAGCCTGGAAATAACTTTTAAGACTGCTAAAAATAGTTTATTCAACCAATATTAATCTTGTTCAAGAGATTATCTCTTGTCTTGCATTTTTTTCTTCTAGAAAGCTCACAATATGAAACTGCCTGACTGGGTTTTAAACGGTTCAACGTATGAAGATATGAGAAAAGTGTCTGATTATGGCATGGGGTGGAATTTTAACACTCGTGAAAAAGCGAGACTCACTGGAGGTTTGTGCAGGGGGGGGGGGGTATTTTGGGATCGGTTGGTAATCAAACAAGAGGGAGGGGGAATGATTGTTTCGCCGTCCCCTTCAAACATCCAGGACCGCTGGAGATATGTCTCTGGCCCAGAAATAACGAGTTTTATGTGGAGGAGAGTTGCTATATTGGCTTGCGTGTTGCTCTGCAGTCTTTGCATTTGAACTTCTCTATCAAGTCAGTGAAGCATATTAATTGGAGGTTGTTCCGAGACTTTTTAAAAGTAGGTATTAGTGGGTCATTTACAAGGGGAGAAAAGTTGTAAAGTGACCTCCCCTCTTGAATGACATGCTCATTTCTGCTCGTGTATATTGCTTTTAAAGACAGGAATTTACGAGTAACCGCAATTTAAAATACTTTGGCTATGCTTCCGACTTGTGCCAAAATAGAAAATTCGCACAAATTATTGTTTTGGTAGGACATTGATAATGGGTAATGACAAGAGATTATCAAGGTAAGTACCTTGATAATCTCCTGGTAATGACGATTTTGGCCGCCACTTTGATTCTGTGTAGCGACTGAATTGCATTCTATAACTGATGCATGTATGCTTACATGAGGTGCCGCTTCCTTTTATCTCTGGCCTTTGTACCTCATTAAAAATCACTCTAATAAATGTCCGGGTACTATACCGAAAATTTTAGAACTTAAAATCTTGAAATATAAATTCCAATTGTTATTGTAGGTGCACTGGTGGGAAGAATGATTGAAAACATGAAACTCGTCTCATCGCCGAAGACAGGAGGAGACCCAGCCAAGAAAATCTATCTGTATTCAGCTGTAAGTGAAAACTAAGTGCTAGTTACGCCTGTCTACAGAGGGTCCTAATGATAACGTAACAGTTCATAGAGACCCATAACGATTTTTAAAATGAATGAAGGCTGAAATAATATGAGATGCAATGTTAAAAAAGATATGAGGCAGTGCTAGCCTCGTTTCCAGTATTGACAACTGAGATTAAACTTTGATTTTCCGAAATTAAGTTAGACCATCAAAATGTCCTCTTTTCTCTCAACGTATCCATGGTGGTGGAGGTGAAGGACTCCGATAACGTCAAGCAGAGCTTCTTTCTCCGCGTTCAACGTATATATCAAGATTATTTGGGAAGGGTTGCGTATCGCCCAATGACGGCACGTGCTTAAAAACGATCACAGTGCTTTACAGCCTGAAGAAAATAATCATGTGCGAATGTTCTCACTCTGTCACACAGTCCCATTCGAAATCATATGATTCTTTTACCAGGAACGCCTCGCTTCTCGCCATGAACATACGTACATACTTGAGCGCGTACTGTCGCTCTAACTTAATAGAGTACTTGGTTTATTGTGACATCTAGGTTTTTCCCTGATTAAAATTAATTTGCCTCTCTTTAGCACGACACCACGCTTTCAGCATTTATGAGTGCTCTTGAAGTATTCGATGGAATTTCACCAGATTACTCGAGCGCAGTCATGGTTGAACTGTTCCAATCCAGAGAGTGAGTAGAATTTTGAATATCAGTTATACTCTCGCCCCATAACAATCTGGAACTCAAACATAAGTCTACTTGTTAATTAGTAGAGAATCAACTTGTTTTATTAAAAATACTCGAATCTGACTGATTCTCTCATCCTTGTCTACTCGCTGATAGCTCATAATAGTGCTTGCGATGCCTTCGAAGAGAAAACTTATTCTAAAATCTCTTGGAGTGCAATCCGGCTTTAGGTATCGAATAACACAATAAGGTTACTGTCTTACAATTGGCTGTGCCTCTTTGAATATTCTTCACGCCAAATTGCACTCGGGTTGAGGCCTCGTTCAATGTTGCCAGTCCTCGAAATTTCTTCCATCCGATTGTTTCTACTTTTAACTTTATTGTTACAGTTCAGACAGCATGTAGACCGCTAACATACGCTAATTATACGAAGTTCGCGCGCAGTGGGATTTCGGTTCGTCACACTCGTCTCAACTTGATTATTCTTCTAATAATTATCAATACTGAATTGAAGTTTGAACCATATTTACAGAGGCCTGGAGGTTCGTGTGATGTATCGATTTGGTCAAAATGTGCCCCATGCGCTGATACTGCCTGAGTGTGAAGAGTTCTGTCCACTGGATGAATTCATCACGTAAGCTCAATGCAATGCTCTGCAATTTTTGTTATCTTTTTTTTTTTTCTTTTTTCGCTAAAACTCACAACCCAATTCCGTTTTTCAGGTTAACGCATGACGTCATACCAGTCGATATAAAAAAGGAATGTGCGCTTGAGCAGGAGAAGTGTACTTGCGTTAAAGGTGTGTCAGAAACTAACAGAACTGGGTAGCCAAGTGGTAATGAATATGGTACCACCGTGTTAAGTCAGACTGAGCTTTATTCCTCGATTCCCGACCTGATTTCACTGCCTTCCTTACCATCGACGGGAGCATTTCAGATATCAGAGACGCGTAATCTGTACCTCAGCAAGAACTTGAGCAAGTTCAAATGCTTCCGTAGTATGTCTTAGATTGTTAACTGCTCAATCCTTGTGATTAAAAAAAGGTCCACAAGGTTGTGTATTATACGTATCAGGAACTGTCTGCTCTAGATCTCGCGTGTTTATCTCCCTTCACTCCCCCACGGGGGTGGGGGCCTTATCCAATTGAACTACCCTTAAAGAAATCAGAGACTTCTTCGATCGCAATTTACTAACTACAAGTCGCCTTCCTTACTTCTAGTGATTGATTATCAACCAAAGGGATGTTACAGGGAAGGCAAGCAAAAGAAGACCAGAATTTTTCCCAAGACATTCGGAGTCGTCAAACACATCGATCAAAAGGATCCTGACATAGACCAGATCTTCAGTGAATGCAAGGACCTGGCAGAGAATAAAAGCTATGAAATGTTTGCTATTCAGGTGAAAACTAAAACTGTCTTTACTTATAATTAGGGAATATGATTTTCAAGCAAACAAGAAATAAACTTGATTGGGTCTCAATGAAATTTCTTATTAGTAAATACAATTAGCGATCCATTTTGGGAACTTTGATCTTTTTGCTTTACATCTTTCTTATTTTCAAATGGGTAGATTATCGATTCAATTGGAGACACTAGTGCATTAGACCTGAATTGACGCTGAAGAGCGTTTTTATTTAGTGACGTATAAACCCTTTATTCTCTGTATTCTATCTACAGAATATCAACAAATGTGTGACATCCGTAGATGGAAAGGCAGTGGACTTTGCGAAGTATGGAAAATCCTCGAACTGTATCGAAGAGGATGATGGGCATGGTGCTGGAAAGAACAGTCGAACTAATTTCGTTTACTCAGGGTAAACATTTAAAGTGTTAACTGCAATTAACTTTTTTCATAAATGCCTACACTAGTCATGTACTGCATGCATTGATCAAATACTGATGTGGGGGGCGAGCCAAAAAAACATATACGGCTTCTCAGTGTTAGTTTTAACGCAATGATGACTGTGTGAGATTTTAAGCTTTTGATTTATTTTTTAGGTAAACTGGACAGTAGACACTTGATGTCGGCTACTCAACTGAGGCGTGAAAAATAAGTTACAGGGTTAAACATTTAGTTCATTCATGCGAGGAAATTCCTGTGTCAAGAGGTGGTTAGAAGTTTAATTTATTTAAATACTGTCATTATGGTGTAAGAAATCAATGTTAAGGGCAAAATAATAAAGAATATAATGTGAGGGATTTCTTGTGTACTTTCCTCATATAACATCAGAAATCAAAAGCCCAGGAATTAAATGTTCCCTTGTACGGAAATTCAGTGAATGGAACATGCATATGCAGGATTGACTTGACAAAAAAAAATCGACTTAAAAGATGAAGATCCATCTTTCCTCTTCCATTTTACAAAGAGAAAGGTCTACACGCGCTTGCTTTTTTCTCTCTCTCCCCAGCCTCCCCGCACTTTGTATATTTTCCTCTCCCCAATCTCCCCAAGCGTTTCAGTCGTTACAGAGATAACTACAGAGATAGGATACCATTCGTACTGCATGAATTGTCAATATTGCATATAACTCAACAAACCACATGAATAATTTGATATTGTCGATTGCAGTGGCCTAGAGAATGAACCAAGTGCAGAGGAACCGGTACTGCCAAAAGAATGTCATCATATCTATTCCTCCGTTTGATGAAAATGTCCAGACGAACGTTTTATTCTACCCACCCACCCACCCCATAGCCTATAAAATTCCACTGTGACTCTTGCCGTATCGCAGATAATTGTTGCAGTGCGTAATAGGAAACTATCCTTACGACTACCGGTTAACATATGATCGATATGAAGGTCGAGACAGAACTAAAGTCTCTCTCTGCGAGCGTTGTGGCAGTGATCGTTTCGATCGCTTTAATCGCTGGAGACTGGTTTCCATTTGATCGCAACCGATCGCTGAACATTTTTTGCGGCGATTGCAGCAAATCATAAGGAAACCAGCCCTTTGCGAACACCTTCAACGAGCTGTTGCGGAAGAGACATGTACAATAAAGACAAGTCTTTTCTTTTTTTCCAAGTCGGCGTAGAGTTTTCTGTAGGTGGAGATTCCAATCTTATCGACAAGCCAAGTGTTTTTTTCGTGGAACTTTGCTCAGAATCTGTCCACTTTTACACTCCAAGGCGAGCTCTTCCAATGGAAATTATGCATAAACTAAAAGTAGTGGGAATAAAACTAGTTCTTAAGAAAACAAGTTGGACTAACCGTAGGTACTTTAAAAAATGTCTTTCTGATCAGGTAGGTTCTGTATTTTCAGTGACTAATATGTCTAATGGCCAGTGAAGTTTCTAACTTAGAAAATTGATAATTATTTAGTATTTTATTTTAGCGTGAAGTAGCAGCCAGCGGGCCCTCGAATTGAAATCCACCAATCACACCCCACACACGTGATGGTTTAAAGCGTCAGCTAAAGTTGATGTTTCATTTTCAAGGGAGCTTACAACAAACGCCCGAGTGGTTTTCGTCTTTTAAGACGATTAAACATAACGGGATTTCTAAGTCTCCATTGTCATTAAGTGAAACCATTAGCCATAAATAGAGGTCTGAAGTAAGGTATCCAAGGTTGGTAGAGGTCTGAATTAAGCTATCAAAAATCACACGTTCTGATCAGAGATGGGGCAAAGTCGCACACCCCCATTCTCCGGGCTACACAATCGTCTCACTTAGTTTTTAGGGATATCAGTATTTTTCCTGTCGTGCTGCCAAAGTGCAAACTGCCGTTGAGCTCGTCTGGCCAATCGCTCGCATAACACGTCGGCGAAGCACGCCAAACTACACGATCATACTTCTTTTTTTTTCCCTCAGAGGCTTCTGTAAACATTAATTAAGGGAACTGGGTAAAGGGCAGAGTGTGAAGAGACTGAGAGGAAAACACGGGCGCAAAACTCTACTTCTGTCGTTCTCAAGTCATTCAAGAGCGCAGATCAAATTAATTGTGGATTGCAGTGCAGCTTGGCTTGATTTCCAGCCGTTTTGGGAGTCCGGTTGTTAACCTCTTTCTGGCGTGTGACAAGGAACGCGGGTTCACAAAACGGCATGAAATCGAGCCTGCATTGCAGTGGAAGTGAAGGAAAACATGAATGATTGAAAGACCATCGTTCAGGTAGATTTTTTGCTGATAATGTTTCTCGGTCTGATCGCTGCTGGATCGGATTACCCGTTCAAACATAACAAGCACAAGGAAAGGACACCTGAAAGATCCCTCGACATTTCTTTATTGTTTGGTCATAACACCAACTCCTCACACCCCAATAACAGTATCTCAATAAAGGAAACTTTTCACCGGCTCCTAAAAGCTGAATGAGCTTAAGTTTAAGCATAGCAATTGACTTGGTTGTCACGACTTATATCAGCTGTCTCCAGGTGTTCAACGTTCCCAAGTTTACCTAAAGAATAAAACAAATAGTCAGAACCTCATTCAGAGATGTATCGTGTATTTTCAAACAACAGCGGCGGTTTTGACCCCCTGTCTCGCTACAACATCTCCCCCCGTCNCCCCCCCCCACTTCATCCCCAGGTATTCTCTGATCAATGTGTGCAATGAATTACTTCTACGCCTATTCTGGAAACTGAACAGCAAAGATAGATATACGAAAATAACACCTATTACCCTGAATAAACGAAGTTTGCTTTACTGTCCATGCCAACACCGGTTCCATTATCATCTACAATGTACTTCGACGATATGCCATGCTTAGCAAAGTTTGCTGTCTTTCCGTCTTTTGTTGTCACGCATTTGTTGATTTTCTGTAGGCAGAATATAGAGTCTTATCATTCAAGTGGAATGGTCGAGGAACTAATGTTCCCAATATATCGTTAAACTACAGGTACTGATGTGTTGATAAATGTGTCTTCACTTACAACCAATCAAACTGTAATATGGAGACACGGTCGACCCTCCGCTAATGGCACCTACCCATGACGAGAGGGCACTAAGTCATGGTTGTAACCGCATACGGACCGACTAAGTGATTAGCCTCTTGTAAATGGACACTTCTCCTCAGCCATGGATACCTCTTCTGTTTTTTCACTCTGTATCTTAATTAGCATAATACTACTCCTGCTAATTTAGCCATAATATTTGCATACGATTACAGCTGAAGGAAATATATAGCGCTTTTTAAAGTGATGGCGAGAATTGATCATATTAACTTCAAATGTTCCGCCCATGAGCTCTCTTTTAGCACACGTGTCCCTTTCAAAACTAAACTTAGCACTGAGGAAGGGCTAGGCCCGAAACGTGTGCTATATAATGGAGTTTATTTCGGCACTTTCTTATTACTAGTTATAACTTTCTTTTGGCTGCTACTGGTCATGATATTTCCTGAGGCTGTAAACCAAAATTGATCGGATATCGAGTTCAACTTCAGTCGCAATATTACATTGTCTTGCTTAGGATGATACTTCTTCCCTGGAAACACTGTAAAGCACTGTAAAACGCCAGGATACTCCAAACGACTCAAGTTGACAATATTTCCAAAATTTAAATGATCTAATTACTGATTCGTTACCTAATTTCTTAAAAATCATTTTGCACGAAATCAGAATTCACCTGAATAGCAAAGATTTCATAGCCTTCATTCTCTGCCAGTTTCTTGCATTCGTTGAAAATCTGTTCTACATCTGGGTTGACAAAGTCAACGTTTTTGACGACACCAAATGTCTTGGGGAAAATTCTCTTCTTCTTTGTCCGTGCCTCCTTGTAACATCCCTTTGGTTCATAATCAGTCACTAGAGGTAATGAACGCAACTTGTAGTTAGTATTCCGATCAAGTTTTTGCCTTGTCAAGTGACTATATCCGCTCTTCGACTAACGTTGTTAATGTTTTAGTTTTAGTTTACAAAAGCTTTTACAACACTGTAGGTATTTATGGTCATGCAAATAAAGCTACTTTTGTTGTTGTTGTTGTTGTTGTTGTTGTTGTTGCTGTTGTTGTAAATGCTAATGTTCTCAACCGGATGTTCTTTATACCAACGTTTCAGAGTGAGGTTGCCCCATATCCTGAATAGCTGCATTTCTGATATGAGACTCCATTCCTGCTGTTAAATGATCTTAAAGACGGTTGAAAACTGATCGAGTCTTAAGCCTTCTCTGGCGTTATAATAACAAACAATTCAGTAACAGTTTGATATGAATTAAAATTGACCATTAGTTCCTTTAGTTTATTTACACACCTTTAACACAAGTACACTTTTCCTGCTCAATTGCACATTCCTTCACAATGTCTTCTGGTATAACGTCATGTGTTAACCTGCAAATGGGAAATACGTTACGTTTTGAGTTTCAGCAAAAAAGAGACATACCTCTTACTAACCGAGTTCGAGGGCCGTACTGTAAGTTACGGACCGAGTTTTTTCCCTCTTCGATTTATAGCCCAAGCGCGGAGCGCGCGGACCATAATTCGAAGGGGAAAAACGAGGATCCGTAACTTACAGTATGAACCGAGAAAACGAGGTTAGTAAGATATTTATTATATCTCTACTGTGTGTCTGACGGGTTCGGGAACGATTTCTATTCACGCGGAACGGCTTCAAATTTCTGACGCACCTCGAAAGCAAAACGAGTCAATTTGAAATCGTTGTTAAGTACTCTTAACTCGTTAGCAGGTTTTAATTCACAATTTCAGAAGTAAAAGAAAATTTCAAACTCTTACTTGCTAAAGAGGTTAAAAATACTTGGCGATAAAACACGAAACATTTTTACAACAAAAACAGCTTTAAATAGACCAATCACAGCGCGCGTACTAACTGAGAGATATAATAAAGAAGGATAGCAAATATTCCAGCGAATTTCCATTAGCTTACCTAATAAATTTATCCAGTGGACAGAACTCTTCACACTCAGGCAGTATCAGAGCATGGGGTTCATTTTGACCAAATCGATACATCACACGAACCTCCAGGCCTCTGTAAACATAGTTCAAACTTGAATTCAATAATTAACAATTATTGGATCTAGTTTTGCTATATCCAGAATAATTAACAATTAGACCCGCAGCCCGCAACGGTTACGGGTCAATAGCCCATGAGGCGAAGCCCAATGGGCTATTGACCCGTGGCCCTTGAGGGGCGAAGGGTTCAATTGTTTTAGTATCACTCAACTAGTAGGACAGAAAAGGCAATAATAAAGTTAGATAATGCAAGTTGAAGAAAGATTTATTTCATAATATAACGAAAGAGAGCGTCACGCTCGATTGCGCCAATTTCGCTACTCGAGGACTATTACTAGTAGTCCTCTAGTAGCGTAGCCAATTAAAATGCAGGATTTGAATTAGTCCACTAGTTGGGTGATACTAATCAAGGTTAACCGGCGAAGTCACATTGCGCACAAACAAGCATATGTTATATAGAACCACTTGCTGCCCAAATTGTAATAAAAACAATTAAATTAGAAATTACCGGATGGAGAGAATTTCGAGGACTGACAAAATTGGACGCAGTTTCATTTCGAGTTCAGTTTGCCTTGAAGGTCAAATGATTGGTTGCTTCTCTAGTCTAACCAATCAGTCATTAAAACATGTAGTGTTATGTCATCCTAATGAATTTTTGGAATCCAATCTCCTACATGAAAGGCTCTTAAGCAAACGAAGTAGAGTCTTGGGAGAGAGAAGCCTGTTTTCGTAGATTAAAAGCACAACCGATCTTTAAAATTCTACTTACCCTCCGGATTGGAACAGTTCAACCATGACAGCGCTGGAGTAATCGGGTGAAATTCCATTGAACACTCCAAGAGCACTCATAAATGCTGAAAGCGTGGTATCGTGCTACGGAGGAGGCAAGTCATTTTGAAAACGTCAACTGGTTGTATCAATGACCTCATAGCATTTTTATAATTGGGAGCAACAATATGCTCTCACCGAGGTTGCATTCGTGTCAAGAGACGCGACGTTCGAAAAGAATATCGAGTGGAAGTCACGAGGCTCCCCTCTAAAATATCAGCGCGACGCGCGTCTACGTGGTATTGTTAGGGAAAAGGAAGAACAGAACTGTGTTTTGCAGTACAATTTTCTGAAAATCAAAATTTGATCCTCCTGGTATTGGTACGAAAACAATAGGATTCCTCTCAAAAGACTTGTCAAGGTCACAGCCTTAAAAATTCAATTTTCTAACTATTTAAAAACAGCTTAGTCCTCTATGGTCCCTAAGGAGTAGACAAGTTTAGTTTTCACTAACCGCTGAATAAAGATAGACCTTCCTAACAGGTTCCTGGGTTTCGCTCCTCTTCTGTGGCGATGAGAAGAGTTTCATGTTTTCAATCATTCTTCCCACCAGTGCACCTGCAATAACAATTGCTAATTACATTCCAAGATTTTAAATTCTAAAAGAATCGGTGTAGTGGCTGGAGATTTATTTGTAAGAGTAATTTTCTAATGATGTGACCGCTTGACAGATGTGACGATGAAAGGGAGCGGCTCCTCGGGTAAGTGTACATGAAGTATAGAAAGAAGGTAGTGAGATATGAGGGCGTTCACTCGTTATCACTATACAATCAAAACGGTTATTTATTCGAGGAAGGAAATAGCGACATAGCTAACCCCCTTGTTCGTTTACCACTGAATTCCCAGATAAGTGCTCACCCCCCGCCCCCAGCCCCCTTCCTTCTCCGCAAAGTTATCAATACGCTCAAACCTCCAGTGAGTCTCGCTTTTTCACGGGTGTTAAAATTCCATCCCATGCCATAGTCAGACACTTTTCCAATATCTTCATATGTTGTACCGTTTAATACCCAGTCGGGCAGTGTCATATTGTGGGATTTCTAGAAGAAAACAACACGACAAAAGAATAGTCGGTTGCGTCCCCAAATGACTAGGTTTTAACTCGTGAATTGCAATAGAATGTTACAAGTTGTAGTGGGTGGTGAAATTATTTCTTTTCATCTTTAGGAGAACTGAAGTTATCGCTAATATAATTATGTTGAAGTATTGGGATTTTCGAAATATAATTAGGACGGGTCGCCGAACAAGCTTTCGAGATAACAAGGACGTTTCTTGTGTGTTCTATATGCGATATTCAGGGTATCCTTCAGAGCAAATTTTATTTCCAGTGAGGTACCCGTGCTACTTTTGTATCATCCTCGATTCCAGGCTCTTTTTCCTATCCTTTCCCTTCCTTGTCGTTAAAGAGGGAGGGATACCTTTAATTTAGTGGGCAATCCTTACCTCACATATCAATGGGTCTCTGATTTTGAACATAGTTGACACGTCAATTTGTTCTCCACTGTTTTCAGAGACATAGGCCAGCAAATCCTGTCGAGTATTCAAAATGACGAGCATTGTAAATGATGATACTTAAGATACGGGTATAACTTTCCCCGAACCCCTTTCCCTCGCCCAGCCAGTTATAAGCCCTCACCCGAAATATGGTAAGCAAATATCATGCAAATGTCATGCATTTAAATTACTGTTAAACTCAACTTGTTTTATGTAACAGTTTCATTTTAAGTTGATTAAATTAACGAATTCACAATTTCGTTCTAGATCGTCGCGCAGTTTTGTATGGGTATTAACGAACCCCTTTGCACATAAATCGCTCACTTTATCTTCGGTAAAAGTGAAAATCCTGGTAATGGGCCGGTCAGACTTTCAAGATCTCAAATCAGTTTCGGATACTATCTCACATCTATTCTCAGTTAATGGTTTTCCGACCACCACATTTCGTACACCTAACGATCGTAATAATTTGCCGGGTTTTAAGCTGCAAGTTTTAACAGCAAGACTCCTTTTTGTTGAGTATCATTCTGCTAAACAGCAGTATCCTACTTCAGGTTCTCGGTAGAGTGCAACACAAAGTCGGCATGCACGTCTTATGACTGGATTCCATACCTTGTATTGTAGTGTCATTTTGATATATCCCGGCTCCTTTTTGCCCGCCGCATTAAGTTTGAAATAGCGAGGGCAGGGGTAGTCAAAAACGGCGAGAAGCTAAGACAAAACAAGAATGTTAGGCCGCAGCAAAAATTAAAATCTTTCCATTATTGACTTGTTTTCCATTATATTAGATCCGCTCTGCTCTGTATAGTCCAGTCGGTTTTAAAGCAGTCTCTCGTTTCCTCATTTTACTCTTGGCGACTACTAACTTGAATCATATGTGCTTTATTTTCTAGAATGTGGATTGTCCTCGAAAATCATTGGGACGTCAAATTCTTGTACAAGTTCACAACATGGGCTATCATAAGTGACGTGTCAGCCTCAATCGAGCCTTTTAAAACATTTACTTTACAAGCGTGTAGATTATTTGAAATTCGTCGCTTTCTTTCTCATCATCAGATTCCTAAAGAACTCGGTGCACCCCTGACGAGCCAACACCAGCTCAGTACAGTCAAAGTAAATTGCGAAAGTGAACAACTTACTCAAGGCTAACTGAGATAGCTTTTACTTATACTCGAAAAGCAATTGCAATCTACCCGAAGAAACTCACATAATCTTCTTTTAACGGTACCACGTGGATTCCAATTGGTTGCCAGTCTAAATTATCACGCCATATCTGAAGATGAACACAAAATTCATACACTCATACACACGCTATCTTCAAGAGAAGAGGCAATGCTGTTAACAAGCATCTTAGCTTTAGTTACTAAACAACTAAACGATAGTCTCATCACAGATTCTAACTGCCACGCCCGCAAATAATCAAAGAAACAAATCACCCTTGAAGTAAAAGTTCCCAATTGTACAAACCCATTTACAGTTAGTTTGAACTGAGACTATGATTGTTCGAGAAGATTCCATTTTATTTCTTTTTGGCTAGAGAAGACCACACATATCACTTGCAAGACCTCACATTTGTTCAACGCGCATAGCTTAATGGATCAGTGCTGCCGCCTTTCATGAAATGATGCTACAATATAATGGTACCACACAAATGCCCAATCACTGGTAAACAAATTGTGGTCATCTCTTTACAAAACAGGGTACCATAGCAACAGTATAACATATCAACCCAACATGTTAGTATGTTGACCCAATTGTCATCAACAGGTTTAGTAATTTATTAGCTATAGCATTCGGTTAGTATTGGTCTGTTGATACATAAGTGCTGGAAATTGTAGGAAACCTTTACCAGCCACCTTCATAAAAAGAAGGAAGATGAGCCGTAGATATGTTTACCTGATGACCTTTTGGTGGGTACAGGCCATTCAGCTGTGTCTGTGCACTCATTAGCGTACGCTCTATATCAGTGCTCCGAATGTAGATCTGTTTTAAAAAACACACATACAAATGTAAAAACAAAAAAGCGTATGTGACTTGCACGTGGACTGAAGGGAGAGAGGGAGGGGGGCAGGAAGGAAGGAAGGAAGGAACTGAAGGGAGGGACAGAGGTAAGGAGACAGGGAGGGAGGAAGGAAGGAACTGAAGGGAGGGACAGAGGTAAGGAGACAGGGAGGGAGGAAGGAAGGAATACAAACTTTATTTCAAGAGGGTTACGCTACATAATGCACAGCATTAATAAACCTGCGGTCCTCATTAAAATTACAAATAGTATTTATTTCAACTAAATAGCTGATAAGTATGATAGTTAATTTATTACAAATAAAAGCTATATACTATATTGACTAACCTCTCTGTGAATGTAAGTGGCGTTCAGAAGTTTGTAATCTTCAACATATCGTTTCTCGAAGAATTTACCAAGAACATATTCTCCGCGCATTCCTTTCTGAAAATTTGAAAATACCCCATATCGCTAATGAAACCTGATAAGATAACTAATTCGTCAATGGAAATGATTATGTTAAATCAAAGCTACGCCCCAGCAATTTTATAATTTCACATGTGAAATTATAAATTAACACTTAAAAGTAATTCGTCACCCATGATGTAATTGCAGTTATTACAATTATTCTTCAGTTATCTTAGATAAAATGTCTCCAGCACTGACTTGTGTTAGCATTCCCATTCCTTGCGGCCACACGTCTTCTTGGTACGGATCATTTTGATAAATGTGAGTAGGAGAGCGGTCGCCATGGCGATAAACCTGCCGAGAAAAAAAACAGGACAGGAAGTGACAGTCCACGCATGACAACTGATAATATATATCTTAACAGTTGAGTAGAGAAAATCTACGAGTGTAAATAAACATATTTATACTCGCTACTAGTCCGTGTGATGCCGTTTTTCAGCTTCCCCTTATATACACTCCCTCCTGTTCTTAAGAGGGTAGGATATCGCTATTTATGATCTGACCACAATTCAAACTTCTTACAGCATTTAAATAATTTTTGTTTACATTTGCCATAAAAAATTATTTGTCTTTTTCTCTTATTTCGCTCACTTAATGAGGGTTAGTACTTCATGACCCAATGGCAAATATTCTCTAGACATTTTTGTTGCGGCTAACATTATTTTTTTATTTTTTTTTTAAAAAATCGGGATGATATCTAAACAAGGCAAGGCGACGTCTGTGGTTTTGTTAGCAATGGCCCTGGATTATATTTTTGAAAACCAGTCTTAGACGGCTCGGTTTTTTAAAAAAACTGTATTGAGCTGTAAATTGGAAAAAATATCCTGAAAACTGATTTAATGACCAATAACAGTAAAGAACGTTTTGTTTCCTCTATAGTCATTTTTCCATGATCGGTGGAATTCACAGCGCAACTGAATCAATATACAGACATTTAACAACATCAAATTTCCACTGAACACCCTAAAACTTTTACGCCGTTTTTTTCGCAGCTGACAATGGTTGTTATTTGTATTTATACAGCTGTATAATTTAAGAGGAAAAAAAGGATAGGCAGAGGTCATATTCGGTTCCACAAAGGAGTATTGTAATGTAAATTGGATATGAAGGCTAGCGCTATCCGTGTTACTGCAGTCTTTCTAAATTATTCGAAATGATCGCGTAGATGCACAACACAATAACCGTGAAACGTTTTGACTCAACCGAAAGATCATTTTGAAATCAGTAAATTGGAACTTCAAAAATTTTCCAGCCCAGTTGTGTACCAAAGAAAATTTTATCATTTAGAGTACAACGTGGACTTGACGGTGTGCTTAATTTTGAAACGCTCTTCTATCTCTAAGCGAAGGCCACTGCCGGATTTAATTAAGAATAAGTTGAATTTAAACTTGTAAATTAAAGGTGAAAAAATAAACCGATTTAGCACTTGATCATCACTTTTATCGAATGACAAGAGAGGGGCTATAATTTTTGCATTCGATTCATGGATTACAAAGTAAACTCAACATAACATTTAGTAGTCTGTGTATAGATTCTTACTAAAAGAAAGAATACAGAGATGGAAAGAATCAAGAACAGGCTTAAGTAGTCTGCTTTTATTTTAGTAATTTTTTACTATTTTTTTTTCTTTTGAATGTAGAAGTTAAAGGAACTTCGACGTCAATAATTAACAAATTTCTTTTCGCTCAAATTAACTTCCGTTTGGGTCCGATTGTGCTGTACAAACTCAAAACATCAAATATTACTTGTCTACTCACCGCGTTCAACATTACAAGTTTTCGCTGGTTCTCACACCTGGCTAGAGGTAGGTGCTGGGACCAAAACAGAAAGCCAACAAAGTAACAGAGGTACAAACTATGGTCATCCATGTCTGTATATTCACCGAAGAAAGCTGTATGCATATATAGTTAATAGAGGGAAATGATTATGAAACCCGGCAATTATATCAAAGGAGCAAACAACTTGAAAGATGCCAAGAAAAGTGTTGGAAGGTGCAAGGTCGTGCAGAGTCTTTTGTTTTGTGTTCATGCAGTGTGAATGATTACGTAACCCCACGTTTCTATTGGTTAGTTCTTCAGTCAGTGGTAAACAAGTTTGGTGCGAGGTCACGGCCGAAAAAACCGAACAAAAAATACAACAAATAACTTTGCCGGGTTTCTTATCCCTCTATTAACTATGTTGTGCATGAATGAGCGTTTTGCTTTGATCGTAAACAGCAGTTGTCTGAAATTTTCCAAGTAACTCGAACGAGTTGCCACCTATGTTAGTTTTGGAAAGTTTATCAGTTTTCTTCCAATCAAACTAAACCAATTTTCCGGATATGTTTAAAACATAAGTTATTACTCGGGCTTTCGTAAGAAAACCCGAGTCATAAATTTGGAAGCCCTTTCGTCTTGGTCGTCCAAAGGGGGGTCATGGTCCCAGTCGTTCCTAGCCAGTAGCGTGGAAACTGGGGATGAGAATTATCGTGTTCTCATTTTCGTCGACAAAATAAATTGTGCAGAGTGCTGCGTTTTGTGAAGAACGTTTTGGAAAGAATCACGCTTTTTACGTGCATCTCACATACAAAGATGTCGGTCGTTTTCGGAACGGTTAGATCCACGAATTATATTGCCTAAAAGGCTGTCAAATTGGCAGAGCTTGTGCTCGTTTTCACGAGATAACAAATGAGGCATTTACGAATTCATACTACGTAAACACTGACAAAAAAACTCTGACCAGTTACTGAAAAACAAACTATGATGCTGAGACGANAATGCAGAGGACCACACGAAGCAAAAAACAAAACGTATTGGTCAAGTCATCGGATGCCTTTCTATAGGATGCTCGCGTCAAACGTCACTGCAAGTGTATAATCAAAACTGACTGCAAGGCTGCCACACGGTAATTATTATTTCAATGTGTTAAGGGGGCCCCTTTCTCGAGAGCTCCGCTGGTTACTAGTCCCGAAAAGATGTTTTTAGTTTGCCGAACTTACATTCAAGACCTAGATATCAGGAACGAAAAAGAATGGACTGGTTTTTGAGCTAAGCCCCGCTCTACTATTCCTTAGATTTAGATTTTAAAATATGGCTTCGGGTCCGTTCAGCTACCGGGACTTTCGCGAAAGGGGCCAGAGACACGCCGAATGAGCGAATAGTCGGGCTCTGGGGACGAGAAAGTGAGAAACTCCGAAACTTTACGTACTCAGTTCCCGACGGCCAACATCACCAGTCTTACGTGACTGTTACTTGGCGGGAAAACACTTGAAGTAAAGCTGGCGATGTGCTGATTTTATTGTTGCGGTCTCTATCTGTTTGCTAGAAGAACTAATAAATACCTCTTACTAACCGAGTTCGAGGTCCGTACTGTAAGTTACGGACCGAGTTTTTTCCCCTTCGATTTATGGCCCAAGCGTAAAGCGCGCGGGTCATAAATCGAAGGGGAAAACGAGGATCCGTAACTTACAGTACGGACCGAGAAGACGAGGTTAGTAAGATATGTATTATATCTCTACTGTGTACCTGACGGGTTCGGAAACGATTTCTATTCACGCGGACGCGGAAAGGTTTCAAATTTCTGACGCACTTCGAAAGCAAAACGAGTCAGTTTGAAATTGTTTTTAAGTCGTTAGCACGCTTTATTACATAATTTAGAGCAAAAAAGTCAAGAACGCTTAGCGATAAATCACGAAACAGTTTGGCAACAAAATTAACTTTAATTTTAGCGGGCCGTACAGGATAGTACGGCCCGCTAAATTGACCAATCACAGCGCACGTACTAACTGAGAGATATAATAAATTGTTTTACGGTTGAATCTCCTAAAGAGAAAACTCGAGTTCACGTAACTCTCACTGTGCAGCTTTTTATTATCAAACATCAACGCAAACATTACTGGTAACAACACTTCCTTTAGAAAATGGCCTCAAGACTTACTTGTCTATTTTCAAAGCTAACATGCTAACCTTAGAACTACATAACCAGTCGAATTTAAAACGCTAGATAGTACACTTCTTTAAGCCGTCAAAATTTCCACAATATGAGAGTGAATTAAGAATTTCTTGAATCAAAATCTTAATAAAGTTATTTTATACACTAGTCTCCTCATAGTTGTAAACGGATCAACATCAACAGATTAAAGAAAATTTGTCATCGGTTATAAACCCTTAAATGACCCTGAAACAGCTTCGATGAATTAAGAAGCAAATCAAGTTACGGTTTTAGAGTTGTGAGTAACATACCTCATGCCAAAAGAGATTTAAAAGTAATTATCAATTTAAATGAGACATTTTTAAACAAAAAACAATTCCTTTTACATTGCGTACACACATTGATGTGGTAATAGTATCGAAACAAACTCGTACCCAGAAACTCTATTTCAATAGGACAGCGGTTGCGTCTGGCAAGCATGCGCACTAAAGAATCAAAAGTCTGGGTACGAGATGGGTTTTACAAGCGGCTCAAGCCTCGTTCACAAACGGTCGCATTGGAACGGTACTCTTAGTGCTGGTTGCCCTGACGTAAGGGCCAGAAGCGGGTTGCACGATGATGTGCCCTTGGTTGCTCGGTGGCTTGGACCTGCAGCAGCAGCAGCAACAGCAGCAGATGATCATGATGATGATGAAGACAAGAGAGCCGCCGATCACAGCTCCCTTACCCACATCAGACATGTCATACCACCAGGCAAAGAAACCTAAATAAAAAAAGAAACGTTTACAAGCTCAGTTTACAGTGAGAAATTCACAATGGATCGTTTTCACTGTCACGTGATAAAAAAAATAAATCGAAAACCATCCAGTGGATAAAGTCAAGAGATTGTGATGTTACAGGAGATTCATAAAGAAGACACTTCTCCAAGATTTAGGTCTGAGCGTTTTCCCAAACTTGAGACATTCGTCGAAATGTTTCGCAGAAATTTACAGAGTCCAGTATGAAAACGTACACCCGTAGCTGACTGATTTCTGTTTCGTAAACGATCGATTCCCCGTCGATGCCATTTTTAACGGTCTATACCATCATTGGTAATTAAGCCTTTCAGAATGGCCGCTGCCATATCTGTTTTAGTTTAGGCCTGGACAGGGTAGAAACTGGTTATAATTTGTTGATGGAGTGAAACGCACTCACCAAACGCTTAATTGTTCATATTCACACTAGTTTGCTTGCGGTTAGCCGTGGAGAAGTAAATCATGATTATAATTTCTTTTAGGTCTGAAGTGGCATTATAAAACGCTTGTTATATGGTAAGGATAGTTTCTTTCAGTTAGGGGAATATTACTTGCTTTAAGACTTATGCATACGTACCACATGCATTGGTATTAATTGGCAAGTCTCCTTCCATCACGGTCGTCTTCACAGGATAGACGCCTTTTCCCAAAATCTCTCCTCCAGCCAGGAGTTTCACCTATTAACAGACGACAAAACTGACGTCAGATCTTTCGCCCTCTCATTGGCTGAGAGTACATACAGTTGAGTGACGTCACTCGTGGATCCGATGCAATTTCGGGCAGAAACTACAAAATTGCCAGAAATTGCCTCACATACATTTTGGATTATAGTGTAATGCAATTATCAAAGGTTAAGCATGAAACGGCCCTTTGTACCCAATGCTGCGCAATTTTCTCCAGGTCTTTGCTTTAGCCTGCTGAGTGCGGTAAATCTCTGTGGGATATCGATTAAAAACGACAATGTGCGATTCAAAGGAATTTGTAAAAACCTACAGATTTAATTTAATAGACTAAGCAAAAAATACTCACAACAAAAGATAAATTACTTAGATTTCCTTTTTCTTTCAAGATAAATTCCTTCTATAAACTGTTCTCGCGTGTAATTAACATAGTGAACTGTAGAGGTTAGTCACAACCATACAAACGTCAACTTCGTACAATGTGCGTTTGGCCGCGCGAAGCCTTGGAACCACGCGACTTGAGTAGAGTTCTGCAGCTGAAGAAACATATCACGATTGTATACTCATCATGAGTCCTACATAAAGTACCAACCCACCGTTAGACGTAGTTTGTCGCCGTCAGGAGTAAGTGCGACTTGTACGTACACACCAGCGGAAACGACAGAGGGCAAGGAAGCAGTGAAGCCTGGCACTGCTACGATGTCATCACTGGTGTAAGTATGAGACCAGGTGATATACAGGTCTGGAACGTCCATTTTGGCGGTTACACTCACTGGATCATCACACTTATTGACCTACCGGGTGATAAAATTAATATCAATGTTAGTCCAGTCTGTTTTCCATTCAAAGAGCACGATGTATGTTTTATTCAAATCATCTAGATGTGACGTCAAATTCTCGACATTACTTTGTGATGATACACATTACAACGAGTAATTAGTAGCTAATAAGCGTAATTAACATTTTGAGCTGGAATTAACCGGTTAACAGAGAATCCGCAATTTAGGTCGACTTCCTTATCAGCGTAGAAACTAAGATTTCCTACAAACGAGAATAACCCGTGTCCTCCCCCACCCCCTCCCCCTTTCAACCCCTGTCCGTCTCCCTCAGCTTTCTTCGCTAACAGCCTTCCCTTATCACATACTTCCCCCTACAAGAGAGCCTTTTCAAAGACTTGATATGCTTTCGATGATGAAACTGCTGACAGCAATGAAAAAAGTTTTAGAGACCAATTTAGACTCATTATGGTAAAACTGCGTAAATCAACAGCCACTTTGATCCATAAGGTTGACAGGGGGAAGGGGGGAATTAATGAAGAATAAAGTAAGAATAAAGCAAGAACCAATTCCAGAATCTTTTTGAACAAGACGTTTCATGATGTTGATGTACCTCTAGTGTGAGTGTGATTGGCTTCTCAACAAAATCCATTTTGCACGTGATTGTGCTGCAGTCATCGCTGATACTGCATCCGTCGCCTAGAGTTGTAGAACCGCCACAAGAACCGCCGATCTCTATAGATGAACCATCGTCATCGCTGTACTCGGGGTTTCCGTAATCGGCTTAAAAGAAAGAGCAATTGAAAGTCTTAGTTTGTTTCAATTGTATAATTACCCACTGTTTGCTGTTGTTTTAGGTTGATGCAAAATGAACTGAGAATTTCTTTCTTAAAACCGCAATCCTTTTCTGATCACTGACAAAAAA